ATAGAATACTGTTAGTCCTATCGTTACGTAACGAGAGATGCCGAAAGAGTTGTGATCAGTTACTTTAAGCTACTGTAACTTACGTAACTGCGCAAGGTGCCTCTTTTCAATGCTTCCTCTTTTATCTTGAAAATTCAAAGGAAGGTTTATATTTTATCTATTTATTAATTAATTTAATTATTTTTATTCTTTAACAAGAAAATAACTGAAAAGAGCTCACAAAAACTTTCGAGGAGTGAAATTACTGCCCGAGGCGGAAACTACGCCTTTCTTAAAACCAATATCTGCTTTACGACAGTAAAAACGGGCATATAGATCGATAATAAAAAGGTCAATTGAGCCTTTTATGATCTATCAGTAGAATAGCCTATCACGAAAAGTGATCACGTTTTGGTGTTTGTGGTATTTTAACGAAATACCACTACGTAAAGGAAACTGAATCGGCAGCCCCAAATGACGCAATCATCTGAACTGAGATAAGGTTTTAATTACAGCTAGCACCGGTGGCCGGACCAGCAACCAAGGTCTTCAAGATAGGGTTTTAACTCACGGCCATCCGTTTAACATACCGGCACTCATACTAAGTACAATCGTCTCTCCTCGCTCCTCGTCCCTTGATCCCGCGGAACGTCCATAGCGGCCATGGACGACGAGAAACGGCTGTATTCGAAGGCTCGCCCCAAGAAAGTTTTGCTTGTGCAATCCGGAATCCTAAGCTTTGGAATCTAGAATACTGCTCAAGGAATCCGCTAATTTTTCCAAAATAATGCGCACTATACGTATACCTCCATGATTAGTACATTTTAGTTTGAATTTATCGCATCTTTTGAATGTAAAACATTGACAATACTCACACCGAAATGTGCTAGTCATGGATATATGTATTGTCCGCATTAATTTGGAAAAATTAGCATAACGTCATAACATTGAATGTTGTAGCACGGATTTTTGACCGGTTCGTAGGATAGGTTTGTCTTGAAGTTTCAAGGCGTTGCAGTGAATCAATCTTAATGAAAGTTTCAGACATTATTAAATACATTATGAAGATTGTGTGAAGAGATTTTAAAAAAATTCGTTCGAGCCGTTTCAGACATATACAAAAGAGCGTTTAAAGTCCAAGTTTTGAATGAAGTTGCACTTGGACAGGTGGTGAGAAAACAAGTTAGTTTTTAAGATCGCAAGAACGAAAATACACCAAACTTTCCTGGCATCGAAATAAGACATGAAGCAGCATTCTGACGCTACTTAAGAATAATATGAGTGATTTATAACGTTTTTATTAAATAATCTATCACGGCTATTGAAAATTTAAGGTTTGAAATATATTTTCGTTTTAGTCGAATTCAAACATACAGAATTTTTTACTTCTTACGGAGGTCTAGATCGCGCAAAATTAGGTGTTTTTCAATTTCAAAGTTTTTTGTTTATTGTTGTCATAGTCATATCGATTTTATTAAAACCTACATTTTGACACATTTCAATCTATAGTCAATCATTGGTAAAAATTTTATAGCGATCAGACAAGGATAAAATCACTTTTAAAGCGATTGAAGAATATCGCTATGGCCTCTGAAAAACTCGAAACACCTTAAAACGTACTATCAGTCCTAATACAGCTCAATGAATCAGGAACCCCACTACCGTTTTGCAATCCAGAATCCAAGTTCCACTGACAAAGCCCTGAATCCAGTACAGGGAATCCGGAATCTAACGTGAATAATCCTGAATCCAAAAACATTAAATGGGGCGATTCAACCCAAACTTTCATTTATTTAGCCTGTTTGTTGAGCCTCCCGGGCGGCGAAACTAGCTGAAGACGAGCATTACTGAAAAGCGGGGAACGGTAATTTTAAAGTGGCGCAGCTTCTCAACCTTGTGGGTTTTTTAATCGCCAAATACAATACTTACATTACCTCTAGCACCGAAGGTAACAGAAACCAAGGTTTATTTGGCTATTCGGTGGCACACATTCAGGAGGCGTCGCGAGTTGACTAAGTATTGTATAATTCATTGCTTTTATCTGTATAATGAAAAGATTCAAATTGCAAATTGCAATTACAACCTGCTGGAACATGTTACAACCTGAGCACTACAGACATGATAAAATATAAGAAACAATACAACGCAAACAAGAGGCTCAGAAAACGAAGCAGCCGCTTTTAATGAAAGTGTTTGAGCCCATAATATAACAGCAACAAAATAGCTAAGATTAGACTGGTCGGCGTCCAGTGGTACGATAGTTAAAGGAAAGGGTCTAATTATCCCGATGGGATTCATGCAAAATAAAGTAATCAAAAGCTGAAAGAAATTATTCTGGCGCGCAAATAATAGCGGCACCCTAGAAGGAGGAAAGCACTCAAACCCAAGCCAAGTTGTAGTGAGCGGAGTTCTTTTCCTGTACTAACTTGCATTTCTGTTTTACTTGGTATATTTTATCAAACAATTTCAGAATATATAATGTTTTAACCGTACCATAGGGAGCCAAGTAATGATAGAATTTATTTAAGATGCAGCGATACTTAAAGACACAGCTAGAGTCCTATTTTTCTTGAATGATGCACGGAGGCGAAATAATTATTGTATGTGCCCATTAAATAGGGTCGATTTGTTGTGGGCGGATTGAAATAACAAAAAGCAGCCTAATGACGTCCAAGGGAATTATTCCAGGTAAGCTAATGATTTGATAGTAAATGGCGAAATATTGTAATAATTAATTATAACAACACGCTGAAAAAATCATGGTGTAGTGATGACAAAAATACACGAAGGGTCCATGATAAGAGATGCATTGGCAAAAAAGTGACTTCTGAGGCAATTTTATTAAAAACGATTTTGAAAAGAACGGGCCTCCATAATCACACTCTCATAACTCGCAAAGCGATCATTGGTCTTACAGACTGGTGCACAGAGCACCTACGACTTAAAAAAAAAAAACAAAGAAAACTCGTCCGATGTGGCCGCGTTTTTCGCCAACAACAATAGCGAACATTTTTCCATATTTCAAATGCATTGTTTCCTCACGCGAAATATCAATAATCTTGAAACTCAAAGGCCATATAAAAAGACCGTTAATCTCGAGAATCTCAAATTAATTTGTGAAAAAAGAAAGCACCTAGCGGTTTCAACGTTATTTGTTTATTATTTTTTTGTTAAAGTAGACCAAAATATTTGAAAAACCGCTAACAAGAGCTCCTCAATAGATACTAATCAAATCCTTTTTTCTAACTAGCAATCAGCTAAAGCTATCTCCGTGATCTTTCACGCTTTCTTTTTTTAAAAAAAGATTGAAACAACTATGAGTTGGAATTGCGCTTCGTTTCCACAGATAAAGACCGGGCTCCATAACGGTCGAACGTCAAGATTGTCCACTTTTTACCACATTTCTAACCATAAAAACTTCATTCCAAGATATCTCGATAACGCTCTAATAGATTTCGCTTCAACTTCACGAAAGTCGAGGCGGATATTGGAGAAAAAAGCTTCCGTCAACGATTGTGGAAGAACAGTTCCCAGTGCCATGAAATACAGCTGCAAGTGAAATAGGTAATGGCATCATTTCGTTGACAAGACAACTCTGATGTCATTATAAACCTGATCATAACAAAATCCCACCTTTATATAATATAGCTGTGTTTGCATTTTTTCCAAATCTTTATTAATGACGACGAAGTTTATGCTCAAACGTGGGAGGTGTTGACCCTGAAAACCCTTATAGAGCCACCATAAAAAGAATCATTTCCTTTCAAACTGCGATTCGCCATTTGCACATCTTCCATAATACACCTTGTTTTCCCCAAAAAATTGCATAAGCATTGTCCTCAACTTCTCTTGGGGCAGGGGAAATTAAAGCCATTTTTTTTTTAATTTTTAGCGGGGGCGGGGGGGGGACAAGGTGTATCATGGGAGATGAGGAAATGGCGAATTGTAGCATGTCAACCAACCAATGGAAGCATTTGTTTTTCTTTTCCGCGTGCGTTTAAGAGAATTTTGAAAATCAAAGAGGAAACGTTTGTTTAACCGAAATGACCTAATTACCCTGCTAGAAGAGTCGCTTCGATCTTTTCTAGATAAGTCGGGAAAGAGGAAGCGAAAGGTTCCTTCCTCTTCCCGACTTATCTAGGGTGATGGAAGGAGACTCTGTTCGCGGGGTATGACCTAATAGACGCCCTCTCTCAAATAAACGCCTTATATCTGATCAACGACCCCTCTACGCTTTTACATTTTTATTAGACGCCGCGGGTCTTTGTGCTTCATAAAAGTGTAGTAATCTCTCTTTACTTTACTTTGTTATATTTACTATATACTTATACTACTTGTAACTTTTATCAGAAGCATATAGCTTCTGTTTTTAGACATAAATTGGTAACTACATATATCATTTTAGCCTGCACAACAGGCGTTATTTTTCGCGCTTTTCAGGAGAGCGAAGGCAAGCACGAATCGAGCGAGTAGCGCCAGACACGAGCGAGGTGGAAGGCGCCTTCCCCCGTCGCGCGTGTCATTTTTATATAAACTTGACTTTTAAAAAGTGATCTAAGGCGATCGTTACAGATTACGACGAAACTATTTATACAAACATGTGAACGAGCTAAAAACTGAGTTGTTTCCCCTTTTATCGTATGTTAAGTTGCATCATTTTTGAATTCACATAAAGTTTTTAAGAATATTTTTGACTGCAAATCGTATTTGTGCCATTCTCCAGCAATAAATGATAGGATTCAACGACGATTTTATAAAAACTATGGGTGTGGCAACGTCATAAGCGAGAGTAACTGACTGTGTAACACCTAATATTGCTTCACTCATGACGACTGAAATAAACGGAAGATAAAATGCCAGCATCAACCCATAAATATAAAGCACAGTCACTGCCGACTTTTTGCATTTTAGTACGTCGACTGTTCTGCAGAATGGTTGACCCTTCGTTTGATTCTGTTGAAATATCTGACGTTGATGTTTGCGAGCAATCTGGAAGATTTGAAATGTACTTACGGCAGTCACTATACTAGCGACGTCACTGAAAATATTGCGGCGGGTATGATAATCCAGTTGTCCTTCAACCACAGCTTTAAAACTGTCAAAATAGCCGACAAACATACCAATACTGATGCTACCAGTGTTAGCACCCTTGGAACTGTGATGGTAGCCGTGTATCGCAAGTGGAGTTTCAAAGAAAGGAGTCTATCGAAGGAAACTCCGCTTACAATTACAAAAGATAAACTTCCCGTGATCCACCCAATAAAAAACTGCGAAAGTCTCAACTTACAGTACGCGTCGAACTTGCCAAGTAGTTCCGCTGATTTAAAAGCGACGAATAACGGCTGGCCAAGCAATCCAACAACAAAATCAGAAAAAGCCAGGCAAAACATCAGTGTCAATGATGGCGAATGAAGTTCTCTTGTTTTCCAAATGACAAGCATTGTCGCGCCATTAGCCATAACTGCCGTGTAAGCAAACAAAGAGGTAACAACGCACGATACAACACTGACAGTGATGCTCTGACTTGAATGTTGCCGAAAAACGTTCAAGAAAAAACACGTCAGGTTTGTTTCGCTCAAGTTTACTACTTTTGTTGCCATTGATCTGAAAGATGCAATTGACGAAGCCTTGTCCAGAGTTGAGCTCTCCTTTTGGGTACTGTGGAAAATTAACAGTAGCTAGTTGTGCCGCACTGAAAACTGTACTGAGGATTATTTCGATTTTGGTTTCATCTGTAGCTTGCCGGTTCGATACTGTTTAGATATGAAAATAGCTGTTCTGTCGCTAGGATTTGATAGATTCTGCAGCTACCAGTATAATTTAGGCATAACCGTCATCATAAGCATAATTTGCACTTTTGGCTAGTTTTGAACCACCAAATTGTCATTTATTGATCATGCCACCAATTTTTTTGAACCAAGGACACGTATTACAAATTGCGACAATTTTATTACAAATTGCGACGATTATTTTAAAAAAGTACGGCAGGTATTACAAAAGGCGGTGATTATTACAAAGTGCAATGATTTTATTTCCAAGTGCGACTATTTTGTTGCAAAGTGCGCAATGACAAATAGTGTCTGAAATAGAAATCTGAAATAGGATCAGGATCAGGAATTCCCGGGAATACCCCCCCCCCCCCCCCCCCCTCCCCGAGCGTTTAATGGGTCAGCCCAAGCGTAGAGGAAGTTTGTGGCGATATAAATTCCTAACGTTTTTGCTGTTACTCCTATCGAGACGAGACGATGCCGAAAGAGTTGTGATCAGTTACTTTAAGCTACTGTAACTTAGGTAACTGCGCAAGGTGCCTCTTTTCAATGCTTCCTCTTTTATCTTAAAAATTCAAAGGAAGGTTTATATTTTATCTATTTATTAATTAATTTGATTATTTTTATTCTTTAACAAGCAAATATCTGAAAAGAGCTCAGAAAAACTTTAGAGAAGTGAAATTACTGCCCCAGGCGGAAACTACGCCTTTCTTAAAACCAATATCTGCTTAAGACAGTAAAAACGAGTATATAGATCGATAATAAAAAGGTCAATTGAGCCTTTTATGATCTATCAGTAGAATAGCCTATCACCAAAAGTGATCACGTTTTGGTGTTTGTGGTATTTTAAGGAAATACCACTACGTAAAGGGAGTTGAGCCGCACCCTTCTCTTCAAGAATTGAAATTTGAAGCGAAATTAAAAAGTTTCCTTGATCACTAGAAGCCGTATAACTGTTGTGTGGACTTTTTGATAAAAATATAATATTAAACAGGTGCTGTTGCAGCCGGCGGCTAAACTGCGGAGGAACAAGAGATGCTGGTCAGCCGCATTAGTCGATATTTGATCACACCTATACGGCACAAAGTCAAATCAACAGACACTGACACCGGGGCCCCTTCCAGCTCAACGGAACTGAATCGGCAGCCCCAAATGACGCAATCATCTGAACTGAGATAAGGTTTTAATTACAGCTAGCACCGGTGGCCGGACCAGCAACCAAGGTCTTCAAGATAGGGTTTTAACTCACGGCCATCCGTTTAACATACCGGCACTCATACTAAGTACAATCGTCTCTCCTCGCTCCTCGTCCCTTGATCCCGCGGAACGTCCATAGCGGCCATGGACGACGAGAAACGGCTGTATTCGAAGGCTCGCCCCAGGAGAGTTTTGCTTGTGCAATCCGGAATCCTAAGCTTTGGAATCTAGAATTATGCTCAAGGAATCCGCTAATTTTTTTTTTCAAAATAATGCGCACTATACGTATACCTCCATGATTAGTACATTTTAGTTTGAATTTATCGCATCTTTTGAATGTAAAACATTGACAATACTCACTCTGAAATGTGCTAGTCATGGATATATGTATTTTCCGCATTAATTTGGAAAAATTAGCATAACGTCATCACAGTGAATGTTGTAGCACGGATTTTTGACCGGTTCGTAAGATAGGTTTGTCTTGACATTTCAAGGCGTTGCAGTGAATCAATCTTAATGAAAGTTTTAGACATTATTAAATACATTATGAAGATTGTATGAAGAGATTTTAAAAAAATTCGCTCGAGCCGTTTCAGAGATATACAAAAAAGCGTTAAAAGTCCAAATTTTGAATGAAGTTGCACTTGGACAGGTGGTGAGACTGAACAGGTTAGTTTTTAAGATCGCAAAATTTCCTGGCATCGAAATAAGATATTAAGCAGCATTCTGACGCTACTTAAAGTAATTTGAGTGATTTATAACGTTTTTATTAAATAATCTATCACGACTTTTGAAAATTTAAGGTTTGAAATATATTTTCGTTTTAATCGAATTCAAACATACAGAATTTTTTACTTCTTACGGAGGTCTAGATCGCGCAAAATTAAGTGTTTTTCAATTTCAAAGTTTTTTGTTTATTGTTGTCATAGTCATATCGATTTCACTAAAACCTACATTTTGACACATTTCAATCTATAGTCAATCATTGGTAAAAATTTTATAGCGATCAGACAAGGATAAAATCACTTTTAAAGCGATTGAAGAATATCGCTATGGCCTCTGAAAAACTACATCGAAACACGTTAAACCGTACTATCAGTCCTAATACAGCTCAAGGAATGCCGTTTTGGAATCCAGAATCCAAGTTCCACTGAAAAAGCCTGGAATCCAGTACATGGAATCCGGAATCCACCGTGAATAATCTTGAATCCAAAACCATTAAATGGGGCGATTCCACCCAAACTTTCATTTATTTAGCCTATTTTTGTTGAACCTCCCGGGCGGCGAAACTAGCTGAAGACGAGCATTACTGAAAAGCGGGGAACGGTAATTTTAAAGTGGGGCAGCTTCTCAGCTTTGTGGGTTTTTCAATCGCCAAATACAATACTTACATTACCTCTAGCACCGAAGGTAACAGAAACCAAGCTTTATTTGGCTATTCCGTGGCACACATTCAGGAGGCGTCGCGCGTTGACTAAGTATTGTATACAGTCATTGCTTTTATCTGTATCATGAAAAGATTCAAATCGTTACAACCTGAGCACTAGAGACATGATAAAATATAAGAAACAATACAACGCAAACAAGAGGCTCAGAAAACGAAGCAGCCGCTTTTAATGAAAGTGTTTGAGCCCATAATATAACAGCAACAAAATAGCTAAGATTAGACTGGTCGGTGTCAAGTGGTACGATAGTTAAAGGAAAGGGTCTAATTATGCCGATGGGATTCATGCAAAATAAAGTAATCAAAAGCTGAAAGAAATTATTCTGGCGCGCAAATAATAGTGGTACCCTAGAAGGAGGAAAGCACTCAAACCCAAGCCAAGTTGTAGTGAGCGGAGTTCTTTTCTTGTACTAACTTGCATTTCTGTTTTACTTGGTATATTTTATTAAACAATTTCAGAATATATAATGTTTTAACCGTACCATAGGGAGCCAAGTAATGATAGAATTTATTTCAGATGCAGCGATACTTAAAGACACAGCTAGAGTCCTATTTTTCTTGAATGATGCACGGAGGTGAAATAATTATTGTATGTGCCCATCAAATAGGGTCGATTTGTTGTGGGCGGATTGAAATAACAAAAAGCAGCCTAATGACGTCCAAGGGAATTATTCAAGGTAAGCTAATGATTTAATAGTAAATGGCGAAATATTGTAATAATTAATTATAACAACACGCTGAAAAAATCATGGTGTAGTGATGACAAAAATACACGAAGGGAGAGATGCATTGCCAAAAAAGTGACTTCTGAGGCAATTTTATTAAAAACGATTTTGAAAAGAACGGGCCTCCATAATCACACTCTCATAACTCGCAAAGCGATCATTGGTCTTACAGACTGGTGCACAGAGCACCTAAGACTTAAAAAAAAAAAACAAAGAAAACTCGTCCGATGTGGCCGCGTTTTTCGCCAACAACAATAGCGAACATTTTTCCATATTTCAAATGCATTGTTTCCTCACGCGAAATATCAATAATCTTGAAACTCAAAGGCCATATAAAAAGACCGTTAATCTCGAGAATCTCAAATTAATTTGTGAAAAAAGAAAGCACCTAGCGGTTTCAACGTTATTTGTTTATTATTTTTTTGTTAAAGTAGACCAAAATATTTGCAAAACCGCTAACAAGAGCTCCTCAATAGATACTAATCAAATCCTTTTTTCTAACTAGCAATCGGCTAAAGCTATCTCCGTGATCTTTCACGCTTTCTTTTTTTAAAAAAAGATTGAAACAACTATGAGTTGCAATTGCGCTTCGTTTCCACAGATAAAGACCGGGCTCCATAACGGTCGAACGTCAAGATTGTCCACTTTTTACCACATTTCAAACCATAAAAACTTCATTCCAAAATATCTCGATAACGCTCACATAGATTTCACTTGAACTTCAAGAGAGTCGAGGCGGATATTGGAGAAAAAAGCTTCCGTGAACGATTTTGGAAGAACAGGTCCCAGTACCGAGAAATACGGCTACAAGTAAAATAGGTAATGGCGTCATTTCGTAGATAAGACAACTCTGGTGTCATTATAAACCTGATCATGACAAATTCCCACCTTTACCTAATACAGCTGAGTTGGTAATTTTTCCTAATCTTTATTAATGACGACGAAGTTTATGCTCAAACGTGGGAGGTGTTGACCCTGAAGACCCTTATGGAGCCACTCTCACAAGAATCATTTTCTTTCAAACTGCGATTCGCCATTTGCACATCTTCCATAATACACCTTGTTTTCCCCAAGATGTTTGCATAAGCATTGTCCTCAATTTCTGTTGGGACCACTGTAATACCCAGGAGAAAGTAAAGCCATTTTTTATTTTTTTAAATTATTTTTAGGGGGGTGGGGTGGGGGAAACAAGGTGTATCATGGGAGATGAGGAAATGACGGATTGTAGCATCTCAACCAACCAATGGGAGCATTTGTTTTTCTGTTACGCGTGCGTTTAAGGAAATTTTGAAAATCAAAGAGCAAACTTTTTTGTTTACCAGAAATGACCTAATAAGCGCCCTGTCTCAAATAAACGTCTTATATCTGATAAACGGCCCCTCTACGCTTTTAAGTTTTTATTAGACGCCGCGGGGCTTTGTGCTTCATAAAAGTGTAGTAATCTCTCTTTGTTATATTCACTATATACTTATACTACTTGTAACTTTTATCATAAGCATACAGCTTCTGCATTTATACATAAATTGGTAACTATATATATCCATTTTAGCCCGCACAACAGCCGTTATTTTTCGCGCTTTTCAGGCGAGCGAAGGCAAGCACGAATCGAGCAAGTAGCGCCAGACACGAGCGAGGGGGAGGGCGCCTTCCCCCGTCGCGCGAGTCATTTTTATATAAACTTGACTTTTCTTATGCTAGACAACATACCTTTTCAAATTGAACTAAGGCGACAGTTCCAGATTACGACGAGACTATTTATACAAAGATGTGAATGAGCTCAAAACTGAGTTGTTTCCCCTTTTACAGTGTGTTAAGTTGCATCATTTTTAAATTCAGATAAAGTTTTTAAGAATATTTTTGACAGCAAATCGTATTTGTGCCATTCTCCAGCAATAAATGAAAGGATTTAACGACGAGTTTATAAAAACTATGGCTGTGGCAACGTCATAAGCGAGAATAACTGACTGTGTAACACCTAATATTGCTTCACTCATGACTACTGAAATAAACGAAAGATAAAATGCCAACATCAACCCATAAACATAAAGCACAGTCACGGCCGACTTTTTGCATTTTAGCACGTCGACTGTTCTACAGAATGGTTGACCCATCGTTTGATTCTGTTGAAATATCTGACGTTGATGCTTGCGAGCAATCTGGAAGATTTGAAATGTACTTACGGCAGTCACTAGCGATGTCGCTGAAAATATTGCGGTGGGTATGATAATCCAGTTGTCCTTCAACCACAGCTTTAAAATTGTCAAAATAGATAAAGATACCAATATTGATGCTACCAGTGTTAGCACCCTTGGAACTGTGATGGTAGCCTTGTATCACAAGTGGAGTTTCAAAGAAAGGAGTCTATCGAAGGAAACTCCGCTTACAATTACAAAAGATAAACTTCCCGTGATCCACCCAATGAAAAACTGCGAAAGTCTCAACTTACAGTACGCGTCGAACTTGCCAAGTAGTTCCGCTGATTTAAAAGCAACAAATAACGGCTGGCCAAGCAATCCAACAAGAAAATCAGAAAAAGCCAGGCAAAACAACAATGCGAATGATGGCGAATGAAGTTCTTTTGTTTTCCAAATCACAAGCATTGTCGCGCCATTAGCCATAACTGCCGTGTAAGCAAACAAAGAGGTAACAACGCACGATACAACACTGACAGTGATGCTCTGACTTGAATGTTGCTGAAAAACGTCCAAGAAAAAACACGTCAGGTTTGTTTCGCTCAAGTTTACTACCTTTCTTGCCATTGATCTGAAAGATGCAACTGACGAAGCCTTGTCCAGAGTTGAGCTCTCCTTTTGGGTACTTTGGAAAATTAACAGTAGCTAGTTGTGCCGCACTGAAAACTGTACTGAGGATTATTTCGATTTTGGTTTCATCTGTAGCTTGCCGGTTCGATACTGTTTAGATATGAAAATAGCCGTTCTGTCGCTAGACTTTGATTGATTCTATAGCTGCCAGTATAATTTAGGCATAACCATCATCATAAGCATAATTTGCACCCTTAGCTAGTTTTGAACCACAAAATTGTCATTCATTGATCATGCCACCAATTTTTTTGGAGCAAGGACACGTATTACAAATTGCGACAATTTTATTACAAAGTGCGACGATTATTTTGAAAAAGTGCGACAGGTATTACAAAAGGCGGTGATTTTTACAAAGTGCGATGATTTTATTTTCAAGTGCGACAATTCTGTTACAAAGTGGGACAGGACAAATAGCATCTAGCAGATTTGCAACTATATCATGGATATTCACCTCGCATTCACAGCAAAAGCCTACATGTTTAAAAGCTGTTTAGATAAACACGGTTTAAATTTTCTCTTTCTAAGCCGCCACGGTAGGTTTTCGATTGCAAATTTAGTGCAAATACATAACGTGTAAAAAATTTCATTGGAATTCTGTGTAAAAGCCTGTGTTCCATTTTTCTTCTAGTGTTTTTCATTATTTAAAATCTCGTTCAATTAAACGTGTTTAGTTCGTGCTGATGGGGCATACTACTGATTGCAAACATTGCGAAAAAAAATTTAAAAAAAAAACAAGAAACAGTAACTGTAACTGTTTCGCTGGACGCTTACCGAAAGTGAGCACTTACCAGGCAGAAAAAAAGTGTTATCGCTAATAAAAATCCAGTAGTTTTTCCATATGCAAAAACTATGAAAGGTAAAAGCTACTTCCAACCATATATGGCTGGCTAATTGTAGTAACCAAGCTATCGTAAATTGTAATAACACGTTGTCGTAATTTGTAATAAGCCTAGCTGTCGTGAATTGTAATAACAATTGTCATATTTTGTAATACTTCTTAATGTTAAGGGATTAGCTACTGAAATTTTCTTGCCAATCAAAAACTTTTTAGCTATTATGTAGCCAGCATTATGACAACAACTAAATCATCTCACCGACCACCCGACCACGTATTCGAAACAGTCAAACAACCAACTTACTGCGAGCAACTGCCTGTTACTTCATCCACATATTGATCATAGGGGCCATTAGAAAAATTGTAGGTGGGGGGGGATGGGGGGTTGGGGTTAGAGATGGTTCGAACCTCCTAAATAGCACACGCATAACTGACGTTTGTGTGACTGATGTGAAATGCTTCTCTGAATTTTGTCTTTTTTTATTATTATTTGATGACAAAAGTCCTGACAAACAAGAAATCAACTAGTACGAAAGAGTACGCAATAATGTATTTCTTCAACACATTTATTATGTCACTGATGACGTCATTTTACAAAGAAAAATATGAACTATCAGTTATCAACAGGAAAAAGTCCCTCTGCTCTGGTGTTCCGCAGTCCCCGAGGTAACTAAATTAAAAAAAAAAAGAGAATATAGCCAAGAACAAGTCGGCACTGTGATATGTTGCTCAGTGCTCACCAAATTCCTTGGGTGAAAAAAAGAAAAAGAAGCTTGAAAACGCGATGAATTACAGTGTAACCTTTTGTAACGTAAACTTTGCTTAGACTTTGGTTGAAATTAATTCGATGGATTGAACCATTAGAGCTGTTAAGTGCAAAGACGTGTTAGAGTTTTTGTGTAAAACAAAGAGTCCGTTCGTCTTTTGCATCATTTGTGCAGTGAGTTTAACTCGGATTGTTCGAGAAAGTAACCACGACGCTGATTTATTCATCGGAAAAAGATGCATCCAGTTAGAGAACTTTATGACCGAACTCTTACCTCAAAAAGTCAACAAAAAGCTGTAAACAGCTAGCATAGTGTTGAAATTTTATAGGAAAAAGAAACGCTTGCCACCCTGTCGCGGTTGAGTGGCTAGGCCATTTCCGAGTTTCCTCAAGCCTTTGTTTCAAAGCAAGGCTAAGTGCAAAGCAAGTGATACGAAAATCAGTTTTTATTCTGATGAAGATGGAACTTATTATAACAAACAGGTTTTGCTCTTAGCCTCGTTAAGGTTAAGGTTTTTGGAACTTGGAAGTGGGCTATTGAGCAATGAGCTCAATGCACATCCCCATTAGCCTCTAATGTGTAAATAGTCTCGCGTGTGTAAATACAGTAAAACTCCGGCTAAGAACCTGTTAGGATAAAATTTGTCAGTTAACCTCCTCTATATAAGAACCTGTTTAACCTAAGATTTGAAAAAAGATTCTTACTTTCTAAAATCTATGAAAAAATTGTGTACACTTGGGTAGACTGTTCACAGTCCTCTATTTTTCCGTAAGATCATCGAGATCGAGCACTTTGCGTTACGGGCTGCCATCTTGCATGAGTGTCAAACCTACCTAGGGGGAGGGGGCGGTTTGGGAGGAAGCGAGAAAAATAGAGGGACTGTGAACAATCTGACACTTGGGCAAGTAAGAGACTTCAAAATTCTTGAGGTCGATGCTTTAGTTCTTCTTTTTATGGTCATTTTTACATATATTGTAAAAAAAAATTGGTATGCAGATTTTATACGAGGAATAAACTGAACCACTAAACTTCTTAGCTGCATTGTATTTTTTTCTTCAGAAAGTATGGCCTGGTTCAGACGCCGTACTTTTCATATGCCGATCGTAATTGAATAAGTTCAACTTTGGAGCGACACTGGCGCGACATCTGATTCAGACGGCGCACCGTGTGTTGAACCTAAGTTAAGTTCGAAAAATGTTAGACAGACTCTGTCGAACTTACGCTTTTGCTGCACCGAATTGATTCAGACGCCGCGCATGGAGTAGAGCGGTGTCTGAACCGAGGCTAAGAACCTAAATAGCCTAAACTCGAGCTAACTACCATTTACCTTATTACAAGATATCAACGATACACTTCATTAACTCAAAATGGCGTTAATTTAATTAACATTTAATAATTGAGGCTGAGTATCCTATGAAGACTTATTGAGATCGAGGAGGGTGTTATCCGTTGAGGCCGTAGGGCGAGGCGTGTCAAACCCTGCGAGATTTCCTTAATTTTTCATATGATACGAAATAATTGTTTTATTATTCATTCAAAATAATTCCTAGTTTAAAACATAGTTAAAACATGCTTACCTCCATCGATGTTAAGCTTTTCTTTAAAAGTGCACGTTTAGGGTGTTCAGCTTCGCAAATATTCTCCAAGTAGCAGATCTTGCCCTTGGAGTTGTCTTCTTGCTGTTCTTGACATGTTTTTAGCCATTATTTTGCCTAGTTCTTACTCTTAAAGCGAGTGAAATGTCCGCCATTTTTGTTTTCTCAACCAAAACAACTCAACCTCGTCCCCAGGTTTTGTCGCTGAACGGTGCATTAAACGGTTCATTGACGTCTTCGGTTGATTAATTGCAAAATTCTTCCAAATTTGGTCATCAGTAGTTGGTTTTGGTGAAGTATGCGTGTGCTTTTAGCCAATCAGAATCGGGGAAATATTTTGAATGAATAATAATGCATCTTAATTTGCGTCGAAGTTACTTTAAATCACACTATTTTACATCATTGTAGTTTTACAGCACCTTTACTTCAATAACAAAACCTCGTCTGCCTATAGTTCCTCTATCACAAAGCCTCGGAGTCACTATCTGACAGTTCTTCTTTAAGAATTGAGTTCAAAATGTCTTTCGACTGATCTTCGTATTGATCCGTTTCCCCGAGGGGATAGCTGACTTCTTCAGTCTTTCTTCTTAAAATTTCCCTGGCCTATTGCACGGTCACCTTATGGGGATTTCTAAGCCGCCTTAATTTTTGCATTCTGTAGATTCCACCTCGCCCCTAATGTCACCAGCTCCTCTTTTCAAACAATACAGTAAAACTCGCGTATAAGAACCTAAATTTTTCCAAGATAGGCCAAGAAGTTTCTTATAAAAATGGTGCCAACTGGAAAATTAGGCTACTCAGGTTCTCAAACAGGTTCTTATTTTTAATGTTTGTCATTGGTGGGTGTGGCCTATTTGGGGCCTATTTTTGGTATTGCATGCACAATATCTTATAAAAATCCCTTTAATCCAAACATGTTAAAGCCATTTATGAAGTTTATACAAAGCTATGCAGGTTAAACAGTTCGAAACTACAAGGATATATGGATCTACATGTCAATTGTCTCATTGCCAGGGTACGTTTTGTCTTCATTTTAGTTAAACTTTTAGAGCTTGTTCTATTAAGTTTGTGTATTCAGTGTTTGACTGAATT